ACATTCTTATTTATTTAACATTGTCATTTTAGCAGCTCAATTTCCAAAAAAAAAAAATGCAACATTTTAAAAATATTTTGAGCGCGTCACTTAATCTAAGTGAAAGCAATTGGTGAGAAAATCTGCTGCTCAAAAATGTCTGCTCATGAACATAACCTCATATTCGCTAAGGTAAATAAGTTCTTATAATCTCGAATTTTACTATATTTACATACAATTGTTGCACGTCTACAATTGCTTGCGCCTAAATACTCATGCGCATGGCGAGGAGCGCCTATAGGCGTGTTTGCAAATTTACTTTTGTTCGGCGAAGGTCGCACTTGAAATTGTTGGTATTTACGTGCAGTAGTCTCGCCCAACTAAGCTGCATAAGTGTAAGTACACAAGATATGTGCATATGTATGAGCCGCTATAACTACACTTTCATGTGTGTGTTGGTTTAAGCTTACGATTGTTCAAAACACTCATATGTAAGCTTGCAGCTGTAGGTATGTGTAAGTTATTTGCGAATACCGTTAGCTAAAACAGCGGTGAGGCAGCGCAGCTTCACCAGCCAGCAACAGATTTTGCTTGCAACACTCTTGCAGCTGTAATCGTACACCCTTGACACTTGGCAATAAATTCTTTGCCTGCGATTTTTCATCGCTTTGTTTTCAAGTATTTTTTGCTTTTCTTTGTATTCCCCACTTTTTCGCTTTCATTTCGCCCACTGCAGCAACAACACGGCGTAATAAATACATATTTTTTACGCTAAACGACTGAGTGCACGAGCATGAGCGGAAACAATTTTTGCCGTTTCCCATTCCACTCATCTACACTGCCACAAGCAAGCAGCCAGCAGTAAGCAATAACAAAAATATTAAATTTGTTTTGCTTTAGATTTTTTCGGTTGCTTGCAAGGCTTTTCATTATATTTTGTTACTTCTCGACGCGCAGTTTTTGCTTCCCCATTTGGGTTTCAGCTTGTGGTCTGTTAGTTTACAGTCCCGCGCAGCGTTTGGCTTGGCTGCGCCCACGCTGCGTTGTAACAAGTTTCACGCTTAGATTTCTAGCATTTAATGTGAGCGAGATTGAATTGAATTTTTACATTCACTAATCTTTCATTTCATGGTGCAGCTGCCAGATTTGATTGAAAGGAAATATTTCAGGCATATGTTTTACTTAAATAATTCACTGTAATAAGGCTGTCATGGCGTATGTGGAACCTCTGTTTTTGGGTTGCTATTGGAAATGATTCGAAAGAAAAAACATACAATATATAAAAATAAATTAAAAATATTTATTAAATTAGAAAATTTAAATGATAACTATTTTAATTATTTGAAATACAGGGTGATTAGGGTCTATGAAATTGCGGTTAATGAATATAAATATATGTTGCGAAGTTTGAATGTATATTTGAGATATTATACGAAATTCTAAAATTGATAAAGTAAATAGTTTCAAAGATACGAGGATATTTTTAACAGTTTTTTAACTGTGCGGCTTCCAAAAAGGGGTCGATGAGAAAGGAGATTGGGTAAGGAAAATTTTTCCAAAAAAAAAAAAAAAAAATAGTCTAAAAATTCTTTTCGACTTTCGATATAATAGTCACGTAATGATTGAAGTAATGAGACCCTTGATAATAATCAATTCACTAAGAAAATCTGAAATAAACTTTTTTTTTCGCAAAAGGGATATATTTTCGAAAATCCGAAAATCCAAAAAAAATCCAAAACAATAGAAACATTTTTCGGCGGTCTTTCTGAATAACAGCTAAGGGATCAAGGCAATATACATTTTTTTTAAATTAATCGCCGATTATTAAAGTACAACCGCAGTGAATATACATACCGTCACTTAAAATGCAAAATAACGCAACATCACTTTTCATAAGTTTATTGAAAAAAAATTTGGGTTTTTGTTACAAAATAGTTATATTTTGGTTACACATTGGTTATATATTAGTTATATCTGACAGAGGAAACTTGAATTTTACGATATTACAGATATAAATAATGTAGTGAATCGTAAACAATAAACAACTTAATATCGATTTTTGATGATACGTTGATTTGCATTTTAGGTGACGCTATGTTCCTTTTTGTATCAAGTGAAAAAAAAAAATCTGTAATAATCTTTTTTACCTAAAACCACATTTTTTCTGACTTGTAGTTGGATATGAGCCCTCAAATCAAATTTTTAACTCCATAAAAAAAGTTAAGTAATTTCTAAAAATTTTCATTAAAATTCAAAAAAATCTGTACCCAAAAAATATCATTAATGAGAAACGTGAAAACTAAAAAATATTAAGTTCACTGACCTATTAACAGTTATATTTAAATAACATGTATGAAACCGGCAGCGTGCTCATGTGCTTCCGTTACTACTGCATACTCAGAAATGTATGCATGCTACAAAAGTTTTGAATCCAATATCCCCACTAAGCAATGTTATCTAATGCTAGAGTGGATTTCTCCCAACAGCGACATTTCAACGCAAACGAGGGTAAGTTGCAACTAAGCTGGGCTTAGCTATATTTAAAAAGTTGTTAAAAAGTTGCTGCATGCACACGTTAAGGCACGTGATGAAAAGGGGGTACATGGAAGCTGATGGCACACTAATACATGTGATTAAAAAAGTAAATACGGAATCCTTGCGATCTACAGTTATTGTGCGAAAACAAAGAATCTTGCTGCAGGAAGTGAGAAAACGCATGAAATAGCTATGTGAAATTATTTTTTAAAGCATATTTGGTGCATATTTACTGTTTTAAAAATGTTGAAAGTACTAGGCAGGCTTATAAAAAATTACAAAAAAAGTCTTTACGGAAATTAAAATTATAAAAAAATCAAGAAAAAACGTCAGCTTCGATATCACCGAAGCTATAATATTCTTTACATATTGAAAAGTCTACACACAAAAACATTATTTTTGATCAGTCAGTTTATATGATAGTTAGATATGATGCTAATAAGCATAAAGATATCTTGTCAATGACAAATGTTCCTTAGAAGGACTTGAATTTAATCGATAAGTTTGTATGGCAGCTATATGCTATAGTGGTGCGATCTGAATAATTAAAGGGCTATTAATCAACGGGAAATTTCGTGAACATATCTTTTTAAATAAAAAAGTTTTCTGTACAAGAACTTGGTCGCGATCGTTCAGTTTGTAGTATCTTGTTGAGAAAAATACTTGTAAAAATTTTCAGCTTGATATCTCAAAAACTAAGTGATTTGTTGACTTATATACAGACTAGTTAACTCAGCTAAATCAACCCAGTTCCTGCTGGTTGTTACACATTTCGTGGCAGACTAAAGATATGGCATTCAAGGTATCTTATACCCGATATTTTATCATCCATGTGTGTAGAATTTTGCAAAATTTTCAAACCAGAATTAAGCAAGTAGATTCAACATAACCTTGCAATGCTAGCTGTCCCACTAATCCCCATCAATTATTCTCTGAATTCTAAACGCTCCGTATGTGTAGTTTTCTATTTTAAAACAGCTCTTTGCTATCACAATAAATTTCAATTTTCAATAATTTTCACCAATTAAATTGAATTCACCCCGAACTGCATTTAATTGACACCGCAACAATTCTCAACTGATGACAGAGTTTTCCATTACACCTGCACGTTTTGCATTACTCAATTATAGGAAATTTAATTAATTTACTTTTTTCGGAAAGCGACTAAAGTCCGGCTACCGTACTATCAGCGAGCAACTATTTTTACTTTCACTATTTTCATTCTTGCTCGGGAACTACAATAATAAAATATTTTCAATGCCAACGTAAGCATTGTAATCCGGCACACAGTTTGCGTACACTCTCTTTCCCCTCGCCGTAGTGTGCGGCTGCGTTGCTGGCGCTACACTAATCTACTGCCCGACCATTGCCGCCAGTTTTAATTTGCATTTATATCTTCGGCGTTGCCTAGTTGACATTGTTAGACGGCGTAGTCAATTTGAATAATGCGGCATAAATGACGGGCATTTCTTCTTGTTTGCGCCAATGCCATTTGTTGATTTGTAATTTTAGTTGAATTGCTGGGACGCAAAAATGTATACAATGCGAATGATAGTTTTTCATTACATTCTGTTGCTATCATTAAGTTGTGCATTGTTAAAAGGCAAAAAGACTTTGGAATTAGCATGAGATGTGAACTCGGGAAGCAATTACCTTCTTGCTTGTGAATAGATAAAAGACATAAATGGATTCAATAAAATGTAACCAAGTATTTGCTTCAGTTGAGTTAAAATTTTATTGCAATGTAATGCAACAACATGTTTCTTCTTCTTTTTCTTTATGTATCACCGCACACGCGTTTATAGTTTTTGCTTAATAATATTAATTCAATGAGCAAATACTTGATCAGTGAAGTATTAATGTCTGAGCAGCTCATGGGTAACTGTCGCTCATACGCAAGGGTGTACTCAATGCTCGTATCATTTTTATGCCGGTTTTTGTCATATTGTCAGCTAAAATGCAAATCAACGTATGAATCATCAAAAAAATCGAAATTGAGTTTTTTATTGCTAACGATTCGCTACATCCAATTTTTAGCTTCATCTATCAGATATAACCAATGTATCACCAATATGTAACCAATATATAACCAACATATAACCGATATATAACCATTTTATAACCAAAACTCAAATTTTGTTTCAATGTGAATGGTTTATTTTAAAACGTCTTTCCTTCGCCTGTAAGCTTTTGAAAAGTGATGTTTCGTTATTTTGCATTTTTAGGTGACAATATAAATCTTTATAAATACATTTTTATACCCAATTCACTACTAATACTTCATAAATGTCACAATTTTTTACTAATTGCTTATTTTAGAACAAAAATGTTGACGTCGAAGATTAAAATCAAACATTGTATGACAACAGGCTACATTATTACAACTTCTTATTTTGTCTGTTGAACTTAACTATATTTGATCGACTATATTTGTATATATTTTCATATTTTTCTTGAAATTCATATTTGGTTAAAATTTATCTAACCTTTCATAGTTTGCCTTGCATATGTTGATATTGTAATATTGCTGCTTGTTTTTAATTGAAATCGAAATCGTCTCCCCGTTGAAGAAAAAGCTTGTTTCATATTATTTAAATGCTGCACCGCATTTTTCACTTATATAGTCTTTATGTCACGCATGAGTTGATAAAATCTGTAAAAAAGAAAATATTTATATAAAAGAAATTCACATATTTTTCTCTGAGAAAGCAGATTTGCTTGTAATATTTAAAATTGTTTTTGAGAAATAATCTTCAAATAGTATTGATGGTATTTATCTGTCATTCAATTATAGAGAAATGTTTGGAAATAAGGGAAAAAATAACTTCTGTTCATTTTTGTATAGTGTGCAACCATATGAGTTCTACATATTTCACAGTTGTACACATGTTTGTACAGACTTCCAGAACTACCTCTATTGAACCGCGAAACGTAAAAATAGTACCTTTTAATGTGCTTTTAATGATTATCAAAAAGAGCATAGAGGAAAATGTGTTCATAACTACCATTTTGCTAAAACTAAAATGTTCACGATACACGATAGTATCTAGGAACTCAAAAATAATTAAGAAAATTCCTATTTTTATTACATCTCTTCAAGCAATACGTAGTATCTAGCTTAAATATGTACTTCCTACTTAACAAAATTCTACATTAACTAATACACATGCATTCCCTATTAGCATATACTTTTACATATGTAGTCTCTCAAAGCGAATAATTTTTCTTCACATTTTCACTAAACTAACCACTAATTAATTCCATCCAGCCTTTTTATGCCCAATTGTCACATCAACACTTTCACGCCTCTTTAATTGCACATTTATTTGTTTGTGGTTTTTGTTGTTACTAAATATATACGAGTATGCACACGTGCCAGAGGACAACCATAATTAATATCGTGGGTAGGAATGTGTTTTCATGCTTGTCAGAAACAATTAAAGCTTTTGGTGACAAGAAAACATTAATTTCTCTGCTTCTTCGTGAAAGATTGTGGAATATTTGTCTACTTTAAGCCAGGGAAATATGTGGTATTATTACATATGTAGAAACTAATGTAAATATACTAAAATTACCAACAAATTTATTACTGGCCACATCCGAAGCTAACAAGCATATATTTTGGGTTTCTGGGAGGTAATACCGGAAAATTACAGCTCTCAGATGAAAAATTGGATAAATTTAAATTAGTTTATTACAAATATTGGAAAAATGAGTGTAATATATACATATATATTTCTTTTATTTTTGGTTAGATCTTTCTGATCTTTCTACCGAATCTCATTAAACACAGTCAAATTAGGAAACACTTATTTGCCGGATAAGAGCCAATAACCGTAAGATTTACTTTCATACAAAGAGCTGTTGTTGTAGAAGTCTGAAATATGCAATTTATAAAAAAATGTAAGGAAAATGGGATATCTCAAGGACATTGGAGGTCTGTCAATATTATATTTCTACACTAAGCTACTAAAATATTTGTGTAAAATGGTGCCTTCTAATCCAACATAGAAATTTCAGATATATGGTACGCCATGTACATCAAATGCAAATGTTGTTGCTGATAGAGCAGCAGAGAAAACATTCTCTTTATAAGAATAGGTATAGGTATAGGTTTAGGTATACACCTGCTTGTCAACAAAATATTATTAGATATTCGAATTCGCATCATAGCTTCCTGAGAGCTGTGCATTCACTTCGATATCAGAGTTGCAATACTGGTTCTGAAATCGCAAACAGTACGTTTTTATCAATAGTGTCAACCTATTTTGTTATCCAACTTGTTTGGGTACCAGGTCACGGGGGAGTCCCAGCTAATTTCTAAGCCATTTATGTTCACACTCGTTACTTTCCAACGCATCTAGGCTTTTAGGAGGCCCATTTGCGAAACTAAATGAAATCAAAGCCTCTCACTTTGTTATGTCCTCTTTGAACCACCTTGTACTCCTGTTAAATTTCGTCAATACAAAAAGTTTTATTTGTGCAACCTCCGAGGCAGTGTCAAGAAACGCTCAACCGATATTTGCGATTGTTTTCCTATATAAAGCTTTGCATTCGCATAGAACATACTCGATAGTCTCTCTATATGCTACTTCTTAACAGCTTGACAATATAGAAGAAGGTGAAATAGAATTATCTACACACTTTCTTCTCAACTGACCAGCTTTTCCAGACCAAAGTCGTAAACACTTGGTAGACACACTTTCGACGAATCTCGGAAAGTTGCTGAGATTGATGCTGGCCCTCGAAATAAATTTATATAAGCTCAAGGCGCTAAATCGATCTCTAATGGTCTGATAATCCACACGTGGAAGCATTTGGAATCACAAGGTGTTCATGGCTGCTCAAATGGCATCTTGTGAATCTTTTGTATGAGAATTAGCCCCATGGCATAACCTAACCTAACCCACATGGCGTGGGTATAATGTCCTGTGATTTTGTAAGACATAATCAATGAATCAAGTGAATAGCCTGAGCAAAGACGGTTTCTTCAAGTATACTCTTACGTATGGCTGATATATTGAAAAATCAGAGACAATAAAAAGGCAACACAAGTACTAAAGAAATTCCACACTGCTAATACTGTCCTCCATAATAAAAGTGGCTTACGCAAACATCTAAACACATGCCCAAAAGTTTACATTTGTGAGATGTTAGGAACAAAATTATATGCTGAATTTATATGCTAATGCAGCAAACACCAGATAATTTGCACATCAGAAGCGTTTGCATTATTTAACGCAAGCAAGCTGAAAGACACACGCTTGCAAAGAAGTAAAAGCACACGTGAGCACACACAAAAGCACAATACCAACACACAAAATCCGCTGAGCAAATGAAGTACATTGTTGGAAAACAAACAAAATGTCCAATTTTACCAGCACAAGGCACAAACAAAAGGCACGCTTGGCTACAGTTACAAATAAAGGCAAGAAACTTACAAATAAACACGATGGGAGAAACACTACAATTGAAATGAAAGCGCGAAGTAACAAAGAAATATAATGCACAAAGGCGTGTGAAGAGTTGCTTCAATTGATGCGCCGTGAAATTACGGCTGTCTGGGTAATAACACTCGACAAGGTTTTGCTCGGGCGTGAACATTTACAAGGACACATTTATATACAAAATTTAAAGCTGTGTTTATAGCTGTGATTGTGTGGCAGGCAACTCAAATGCAACAAAAAAATAAAACAAGCGGGCAAATAAATTGAGCGATCGAAGTGCAGCCACGCGGGAGACTTTAAGTGTGCAATTGTATATATGCGCTCGAGTTTGATTGAAAATATGAAATAATGTGAAATTAAAATTTCAGTATTCTCGCATACGAATATGCGGAAGAAGAAGCTTAAATATTGTATATAAAATAAAACTGTAAAAAGAATGATAACAAAATATGTATTATGCATGCTCAATAAAAACATATTTTTAGTGGTGAGTGTGTGGGGGCGTATAAGCAACATTTTGGGCAATTGTACGCGAACAGTAGAAAATTGTTTATAGGGTGCCTTTTAAAGTAAATAATAGCGAGAGTGAATTTTTTTGTAAAAATGTGATAAAGCATAACGTATTTTCGTCTAGTAATAAAAAAAAATTATTTAAAAAAAAATTATTATTTTTTGCTTATCTTTTTTTTTCAAAATTTTATTACTCAAGAATATGTCACGAAGGGAATTTTTTAAATTTCAAATTATTTTCGCAGATAAAGGCCCGACATCCAAGATGAGTACTAATTTCTCAAGTGACACTTGACCGATTTGCCCGAAAATTTTAGAGAGTCTTCATAAAAGACCTGTCTAGTTTCACTTTAACAGCTGCAATTTTTCTTATTTTTCGCTTTTAATAAAAATTAAATTTTTCCCCCGCATTCTTGTAATGTCGATAACTAACTAACCATAAAATTAATGGTAAAAATAGTATTTACCTTTTTTCCGACACTTCAAAATTGTCTGAAATTCATGTCCGTATGGTAGACTAGGATACGCTCTTAAAGGCGTTTTCCTCTAAAATTTCCTCTTAAAATATATATAAATCTACCCTTAAGATTTTAAAATAATTGCTTTAGCATAGTTTTTTATTTTCACCCAAAAATCCTTTCTAGAATGTTACACTATGTATATGCATAAAATAATTAAGCAACAACCACATCCTCTAGTATGCTGTGCCACAAATATATCACTGCTTTTGTAATAATTTAAATAAATGCGAAGTTTTTGTGGGAACTTTACTTTCTCTACATCATGTTGTAGCATAAAATTTTCAGCTGCTGCTCTCAGATATAACCAATTTTATAACCAATATATAGCCATTTTATAACCAAGCTCCAGTTTAGTTTCAATATGAGTGGTTTCCACTATATCGTTTTTCTTTCGCCTGTAAGCTTATATTTATTTTACAGTTTTTTTACATTATACTTATAAGTATTAAAGGCATCACAACTCGATATTTATAATTTTCATAAAAAATTGAGCTCAAGAAACTTTGAGAGCTAGCCCCCCTACAACTGATTGAGTCTTCATACTTACGTTTATACTTATTACCGCTTAAAATATTGAATGCTATTACGTTTCTTAAACTGTAAATACATCAATAAACCCTGACCTGGCCATGAACAAGACGAGTAATAACAAGAATTAAACATTTCTTCAATCCCAATTGAATGCTGTGGAAGGTCATACTTGCATTATGTATATAAATTATATATTATACATACTAAGGTATGTTTATCCTCATTCGATATACTGGTATATCATCAATGTATGCAATAAAAATGCTTTATTGCTCATTTTGAAATGATTATGGCACCAAAGTGCCTAGAAACTGCATGTTATTAAAAACTCAAGTAAGTATATACATATGTACATGTGAAAACAGAAAATATTTATTGCTTGCAGTATCATTTTAACGATTCGTGCATCAGTATGAGAGAAAGTGTTATAAGCTGAACTTGACTGCTGAGTTCTTGAACTATATTTCGTTATATGTGAAATTCATATGTACTTGTGTTTCTCCGTCACTTATCAGCAAAAGTAACGATTTATGGATTTTTAAAAATTATATTATCTTTTAAGCAAAGGCTCATACTTTAAGTCTTATTAAATTATTCTATTGAACGTGCTTTAAGGGTTATAATCACTATAAAGGCAGAAAAGT